CTCCTGGGCCAACCTTTCCCTTTCCACCGGGGGAACGTACTCATCACGAAACATGGTGGTGAACCTCTCCCAGGTCACTGCAGCAAGCTCTGCAGAAGTGAAGTGCGCTGTCACAAACTTCCACTAGTCCTTCGCTCCCAAGCGAAGCTGGTTCAGCGCGAACCGTACCCTCAGATGCTCCGAATATGAACACGTGTAGAAGAACCCCTCAATGTCAGAAATCCACCACATCATGGCTATCAGATCCTGCATCCCATCAAACTCTGGTGGCTTCGTGTTGCTGAACTCTCAGTAGAGCAATGAGTCACCTCCCTGTGGCCTAGCAGCAACGATGGCTATAGTGGCCGCAACAACAGCAACATCAATAAGAGCAGTGTACCTCTCATCAAAAGTCTCGATCAACATGGTCTTGATAGACCCAAACATCTCCGGTATCTCAGCTCGTATGGCCGTAGCCACCTCTTCATGAATCATCCTGCGGATCTCCTCATCGCTAACATCGCTGCTCTCTGGGGTGTGGCGCGTACTCACCATGATGTCTCTGAAATACAAAACAAAAATATCAGAGACTCACTCGAGTGTACTCGCACTCGATAAATCAACCCTACTTGCTCCCTTGTACCTTAAGGATTCTTACTTGGACTTCGCACTGATCCGGTGTCTTCAGTAGTACGGGCCCTATAATACCTTCCACACCGCATCAGTATTCACCCCAAGTCCTCCTCCTAGGATCCCAGATCACAAGTAATCTAATCTTGCTATGCATAAGCTACTCTCCAGCAAACTTCTTGTAAGCTCCTCGCTGCTACCTACTCACTCTCAAGCATCTAATAGTAGCAGTAATGTCCTTGGCTAAGGCATCACAATCAGACCACTCTAGTCCTAATATGAATACCTAGCCTACTCTAGCATGCATAACATATCATATCGTATCTTATAACACATAATGTAAGGGTATTTTGGGAAATCACCGTTCTGGCGCTGGCTGATCGTACACACTGCTCTGTTCTGCTTGTTTCAAAACCTTTTACTCTTTTAGAAAAAAATGTTTTATTGTGAAAAATTTCTCAAATCCTCAGTTTGAGTTCAAATACACCCGAAGGTGCATCTAAGTCCCTCAAAACAAGGCTATAATACCAACTTGTAACGACAAGAATTTCCAAAATAAATTTTCATTTTTCAACACAATAAAAATCATATAATATTTCTAAATCTCATGCTATCAACTGTCATCACAAATAAACATATCCCAGAATCTAAAAAGAACATAATCTTCTGCCAATGTGTACAATTCATGCCGGCGCCTTCCCGCGATCCTCGCTAGTCCCTGAAACACATAACACGGTAACCATAAATGCTTAGTGACTTCCCCAAAATTCCACACACAACACATATTAGCCACTCGAGGCTATCACTCTGTATGACCCTCTGGTCAATACGTCTTAGTGGGACCCTCCAGTCCCATAACTCTGTGGACCCTCTGGTCCTAACTCTGTGGACCTTCCGGACCTAAATCTATGAACTCTGAATGATACATAGAACAAATCACATAGAAATCACATCATACAAAAGCATACAAGATACTCTGTCACATAACTCTAATTACTACTCTAGGTAAAGTATAGTGAGAAGACTCACCTCGGGAAATCTCAAACAGTCTCAAACTAGGAATACTGATGTAGCCTCCTCCTAATCACATAAATAAATTACTCTAAATCAATAACGGATCTTAAAGGCTAAATAAGACTCTTACTATAACTTCTAGAAGGGTAAAAGACCATTCTACCCCTCTACTGGTCCAAAGGTCCACCGGTTGACTAAACCCTAAAAGTCAAATGAAGTCAACAATCCATACTAACCAGACTCGTCGAGTTCATGCAACTACTCGACGAGTCCATACACATACCCAGATTTCTTCCAAAGGTCTCACTCGACTCACCCAGTCACTCACCTAACTCGTCAGGTCAGCAATGGTCACGAACCGTAGGCAACCCGGTCTGACTCGTCGAGTCTACTAATGGACTCGACGAGTTTCCCCCATGCTCATGCTCAATCGCCCCTCTGAGGTTAGATCTGCTTCACCAACCTATAAATCTGGCCTCCTAGAACCCAAAAGTCACGTAAAGGTTCGAACTTTAGATCCATGCATCATACTATCATCTCTATGTGCCAAAATATCCCTTAATATGATAACCTAGGCCCCAAAACTCATAAAAGGTTGCATAAAGCTGAAGAATAGGGACTCTTTGGACCTCTCAAGGTCCAGATTTGATAATATTGTCACAATGGGACATCACAAACAGTAGATCTCTACCAAAAATGAAGAGAAGAAACCCTAGATTCGTGAAATCTATTACTCAAATGAAGATAGACATGAATCCATACTTCCCACAACAGCTCTGAACGAAATGATGGTAGATTTGAGTCCCACAAGTTATCCTAGCTCGAAATCATTCCTTCCTTTTGCAAAAACACACCAAAGAATGATGAATTAGCCCTCCTCTTTCTCTACAAGCTCTCTCTCTCTCTCTCTCTGATCTCTAGGGTTTCTCAGGGGTGTAGTGGCCGCAAATGAAGGTCATAAGGGCCTTTAAATAGGCTCCAAACCCGGGGAATTAGGGTTTCTTCGTCAGCACCGAATCGTCGAGTCAGATACCTGACTCGCCGAGTCCGATCGCTAAACGCGTTAAAGGATCCCGACCCTACTCGACGAGTTGAGGCAACAACTCGTCGAGTCCCTCCAAAAATAAATATTTAAATAGCATACCCGCAATCTGGATGTTATAGAATTAGCCGACGGAGTCTAAATAAAAGTTGTAGAGCATAATTTCACCTACAATTGGATATAAAGAAAGTTAAAAACAGAGCCTGTATGCGAAAGATATGCATTTTTGAAGTTCAGGCACAAACTTCAAGGTTGGAAGAATGCCCATCGTACCAAGAGATACGCTTAGCATATAAATATGTACGCTTAGTGTATGAGATATGTATGCCCAACATACTTTTATTCACGATCCATAATTGGCCACGCAGTGTACTCCATTGCATGATTGACATGTGTTCGTAGCCTTGATGTGTCCACGATAATCCTTTAGTATGACTCGCGTACCACGGTTCACACCCAGCGTACTAGTTGAAGTAGCAGTACGCCCTGCGTACCATAAAGTTTCGCCCAACGTAACTCGAGTGTCCAACCACTATAAATAGTGAGCGATGCCATCCAAATTTTGTTTACAATTTTCATTCTCTCTCCATTATACTTCTTTCTATATTGAAAAAATAACCCCTAAACCTAAATTACTATCCTAGTATCATAAGAAAGCCCGAAGATCCCGAGAAAAATAGTTTTCGAGTCGAAACTCTGCCCACGTGAAGCCCGGTTTTTGAGAAAACATCCTGGTTTTATTAGAAACGATTGTTTTAAGAGATGAAGTGCTGCCTAATTATCGTCAAATCAAGGGAGCGTGTGGTCAATTTCATCTTACACATAGATATGAAGTATTTTCTATAAAATACATGTTATGTGTATAAATATTGTTTGTTTATTTGAGATAGACGTTGAATGAAGTTTTTATACATGTTTATAATGATTTAAATTGTATATGTATTTTTATCTACAATTATGTTGGATATAACATGGGTAGATGAAATAGTTTATATGTGTTAAAATGATGAAAGGTCTCGATGTTGTTGTTGTTCCAGTCATCTAGCAGAGTATAGATGACGACGACGGACTATTCTAGACAGTCCCGTGGAACGCTAGCATGTTCGCAACCTGTAGGTGTTTTTGAATTTAGTGTTCACCAGGTGTACTCCACCCCCCCCCCCCCCCGATAGTTGCCCTATTTGACATGTATTGTTGAGGAATCCCCTAAACAGTGTTGTCGTCCTGATGATGATCCTTAGACTAGGTCCCTTATGATAGGTGTTTAGGGACGTAAAGTGAAGATAACGAGAACGAGTAATCAAATATATTGTTGGTTGATGAAATTAATAAATTTATGTTGGTTGATGAAATTAATAAATTTATTTATTATGGGTTGAAATCCCTATATGCTCACTAGGCTCCTAAGCATGACCCACTCAACTTTTTATATTACATGTAGTGGACCCATAGCATAGTTGGATAATGAAGATGGATTTTTGGATTATAGACCATTAGTTGTAAGGTCTATGATATACTATTTATGCTTTTGGTCTGTATCGATGTGGACATCCCGAGTTTTATAATGAAATGAAAAATACATTTCTTTAAGAAATACTTTGATAAATTTTTATCATATTTCTTTTTTGGGACAAATTCCGCATATTTTTATCGGAGACATTATTCTGATTTTATTTTAAAAATATAAACTAAATTGATCTTTTCTTGCTGAGATGTTGAGGGATGTCATAAATAAATCTTCAATCATCAAGATCCACTATCAATCAGTTAATCTAGCCTTCAACCATCAAAATCCATAATGGGGATGTGTGTGTATGTGTGTGTGTATATATATATATATATATATATATATATATATATATATATATATATATATATATATATATATATATATATATATATATGATGAAGATTTGATGAAAGAGAAGACGATGGGGTGTCCGAAGAAGCCCTCTGTTATAGTTAGTTGTTTCCAATGAGAAAAAATTTTCATGAGTGACACCGGTAAAAGAATAAGACAATGTCATGAGAAAGAAAAGAAAAATGGATTAGGTTTATAAGTGGGCTAATTTTTTTTTTAAAATTATAATAATAATAAAAATTGTAAATAAATCTAAAACAAATTAGAAAGAACATAGTAGTCTTTTTAGTTAAGTTAGGGTCTTAATGTGCAACAAAATTAAATAATAGGAATCATTTGAGTTTTAAAAAAAGTTACGGATGAAAACACAAAAATTATCCATACCTCAAGGACCATTAGTATAATTTACTCTGTATATATATTAATTCAACTTGAACTTACGAGAACATCAAACCTAAATAAGCCAGTCGACCAATGGCTTCGGCTTCATGCATTATCCTTTCATCTTGTTTCTTGGCCAGTCTATTATATCCTACCGCAACCGCGCTCGGTGGAAGCTGGTCCCTCCTCAAGCAAAGCATCGGCATCTCCGGCATGCACATGCAGCAACTCCCCACCGACCGTGTCATCATTTTCGACCGGACTGACGTCGGTGCAACCAAAATCTCCCTTCCAGACGGAAAATGCCGAGACGATAAGAACGACCAGACTTTAAAGAAAGACTGTACAGCTCATTCTATCGAATACAATGTTGCTTCCAATTCCGTTCGTCCCCTAATGATCCTCACCGACACCTGGTGCTCCTCCGGTGCTTTAATGCCGGACGGCAGCCTCATGCAGAGCGGCGGGTTCAATGACGGCGATCACGTCGTAAGAGTTTTTAAGGGATTATGTAATAAGTGCGATTGGGTTGAGATGCCATTCGGATTGATTCAAAGAAGATGGTACGCTACGAATCATATATTACCTGATGGGCGTATGATTGTTATAGGTGGTCGAGGGCAATTTAATTACGAGTTCTTCCCGAAAACTGCGATGACGCGGAAAACTTATGATCTGCCTTTCTTACTTCAGACACGTGATGCAAAAGTAGAGAATAATTTATACCCATTTGTGTTTCTTAATCCAGATGGTCATCTGTTTGTTTTTGCCAATAAAGGCGCTATTTTATTGGATTACTCTCGTAACCAAGTTCTGAAAAAGTACCCTGAAATACCCGGCGGTGATCCAAGAAATTATCCAAGCTCAGGGTCCGCCGTTCTACTACCGTTGCGTCTTGTTAATGGGAAAGTAGATTCGGTGGAGATTTTAGTTTGTGGGGGTGCACCTAAAGGAGCATTTGTAAATGCTAAAAAAGGGATATTTAATGAAGCTTTGGATACTTGTGGCAGGATTAAAATATCCGACCCGGATCCAAAATGGTCCATGGAAAAAATGCCGATGGGTCGGGTAATGGGAGATATGTTATTACTACCAAACCGCAACGTTTTAATCATTAATGGCGGGTCAAAGGGGACCGCTGGATGGGGATATGGACGAAACCCGGTTCTTAATCCTGTAATATACCGACATGATAACCCGATTAATTCTCGTTTTGAGGTACAAAATCCGAGCACTATACCCCGGATGTATCATTCGACTGCTATTTTGCTTCGAGACACGAGAATTTTAGTTTGTGGAAGTAACCCTCAGAAATTTTATACGTTCAGAAATGTATTTTTCCCTACAGAATTAAGCTTAGAGGCGTTTTCACCTTGGTATTTGAATCCAAATTTGCATGGGACACGTCCGAAAATAATTTCACCCGCAACACAGACAAGAATTCGTTATAATAAGCGCATAATCATTCGGTTCATAGTTGAAAACAAGGTGGACCCAAGCTCAACATTGGTGACAATGGTGGCACCTTCGTTTAACACGCATTCGTTTTCAATGAACCAGAGGCTCATGGTTCTTGATGGTGGCAACACCGTGAATGCCGTCGGAAAATCGACGTATGAAGTTAACGCGGTGGCACCGCCGTCAGGCAACATTGCACCGGCGGGGTTTTACATGTTATTTGTGGTGCATCAGGATGTCCCGAGTGATGGGATTTGGGTTTCGATGCAGTGAGCTGTGGAGGGGTATTTGGTAAAGCTACTTTATTTTAACGTATTGGCTCTACAAAATTAAAACACACACACATGTATTTATATTTTCTTTTCATACTTAATATATTTGTGTAAACTTTTTTTTTAAAGAAAGTGTATATCAATAACCTTTACATTGTAATTCATTTTTAAAGAAATCCATTATATGTCAAGTAATTAATTAAGAAGACTCTCTTGTTGTCATTGGTGATCTAAAGTTCCAAATTAATCCAACATTTTATAAAAAATACTATCTTTTTTATGATTCATCTACCAAAACAATATAACCATTTTAATTTTATTATTATATTAATAATTCAAATCAACTCAGTTATTTATTAAATGTTAGCTTTATTTATAACAAGCTTTTATTACTTTTAAGAAGATAAAACGTGTAAACAATTAGGCTTTTGCTATTATTGTTAGTTTTTATCGTAAGATTATAAAAATTATAAAATGAAAATACATTAATGTAAGACTCTATTTGTAGAGAAAAATGTTATGAATTTTGATATGTATTTTTTTTATAAATAAACTCTAATTCGTAATTTAAAAGGTTTGATTAGAAAGACCGTCAATAATATGATGTGATGTGGTAAGGCCGCTGATCTGGTATATTTTTTGGGTTTTGGGTTATTCGAGTTGGGTTAATTGTGTAAGTTTATGTTAGAAAATTTAACTGATATCTAAACCGAATATTATACAGAGAGTATTCGAGTTAGGTTATTTAAATGGATACCCGAATTAAAGAAAGAGGGCTTAATGACCTAAGTCATGATTTAGTCTCATCCTTTAATAGCAACATAAATTGTGAGCAACACTAATAAAGGCAACCAAGTTTGTCATCAGCCCGATCTTTTTGAAGTCGTTGCAATCCCACATAAGGCAACAATCATGAATCGATTTCAGACATCACATAATAACCATGAGCAACAATCTCACAGGGGCAAAATCAAACATTTAAGCTGTAAACTTAAATTAATTTAAGACCATAATCCACTCCATTTAGAACTTAATGAATAGGTATTTTCTTAACACCTGGGGAAAATGTCAAAATCTACACATTTGATCTTCATGGGAAAAATACCATACGTTCAACACAAATAAAAGAAGACGTGATGCATCAAAAGAAAAGAATTAAATTCCATTAGTTCCATATGCATAGTCTTAAAATAAATACAAAGTAAAAAACCAAGTTACCAAGGCTAAAAATTGGTATCCGAGGTTGAAAATTATAGTTTTCAACACCGCCTATATTTTCATAGAAAGTTAAAGTTATTAGCCATATAAAACCGTTTGGATAAGATACGTATCGTAAATTCGATCTATAACTTTCATCTTTTAATGATATTTGATCGAGCTGCTCACCACGCATCTCCAGCATATGACATGTCCATATCTCACATCGACATTAAATTGAACAGAGGGTCATCACTAAATTTGAACTTACCCAACACTAGAACTGTGCATTGAATCATCCTGTCAAGCGATTTTACAAAACACATCAACAAAGAACTAAAACTAGAATCAAACAAATAAAATATCCCATCAAACAACTGTATTATGCATTCACTATACAAACGTGTGTCTTTTTTATCACCTCTATAATACATGCACCATCGTATGAAAAAGTGTACTTACCCAATATGTATTGATTGTTTAGAAAAAATCAGGTACGTATACTCAAGTATATTCAAAATTTTATATATATACTCGATTCCTAAACTAAATTAATTTTCAGATTAATCGAATACCAGAAACCAAACCAAATCTACTCAAATTGTTCTAATCTACAACATGTAAGTCGATATATTCAGGTACTAGGTGTGAACCTCATGTATTACATGACTGTATTTAAAACAATTAAATATATATAAACATTTGAGAAATTTGAATTTATAAGAAAAATGATAAAAATATTGAATTACTAAAATTAAAATGTTTTTTTTTTCTTTTAAATTTAAACAAATTATTTAGATAAAATAAATAAAGCAAAATAATAAGATTTTATTTTAAAATTTTGAAATTATAAGAAAAGTCAATTAATGAAATTGATATGCATTTATTATTAAATTTAAATACCATATGAAATTTAATAAAATAGGAAAACAATAAAATTACATATGAAATAAAAATTAATTTAAAATAACCACAAAATGACATGTGGCAAAATGAATGAGAGTATGACAAATGGAAGCTTTAGATTTTTTTATTAGCTATTTAATGCTATCGGACTAAATCACTTATTTATTTATTTACTAGGTGTGAGACTCATGTATTACATGTGTTTAATTAAAAAAAAATGAAATTTTAATAATTTGAATAGTTTGAATTTATAAGAAAAATAAGAAAAATTTTGAATTATTAAAATTAATGAGACTTTAATGTATTGAATACATTACATATATAAACCATTTCTAATAAATACTTTACATATATATTACCTTACATATTAAATGTGGAATTTTAATTTAATAAAATAAAAAATACAATAAAATAACAAGTGGAAAATATAAAATTTAAAAATTCTAGAAAATGTCATGTGTCCAAATGAATGAGAAGAGGACATGTGACAAAAAAACCTTCATTTATTATAGTATATTTTTATTTTATTTTGACTACTAAATATATATAATACTTTCATAACTTGTTAATCTAATCCTTCTAATTTAACTATATTTTAATTTACCCTTTTAATTATAATTTAATTTTAAATATTATATATTTCTTTACTAATTAATTATTTCTATTAAATATTTAACGAAACATCATAAATGGTCAATGTAATTTTTAGAAGTCTGAGATTTAGTCTATAAGTTCAAAAAATTTCATAAATAGTCCATGTGAACTTTTTTTTACAAAGAGTCATTTTCAACTAGTTTTGTTGTAGATTTAGTCCATTTCAAAATTAAAACGACCTTTCTAAAAATAATAAAAAAAAACTCTAAAACTATATATATAGTGAAGGGTTATTTGGAAAACAAAAACAAAACTATAAAAATCATAAAAATACATTAAAAAATACTTAGAGATCACAAAACATTTTTTTTAATGTTTTTATAAAAAAAATCGTAGATTTTTTAATAAATTAGTTGAAAAAAAAAATTTTAAAATTTAAAAAAAACATTTTTTTTTTCAAAAAAAAAATCAACGAATTTATTTAAAAACCTGTGATTTTTTTCATAAAAAAAAATAAAAAAAAAAAACAAAGTTTTGTGATCTCTAAGTATTTTTTTATGCATTTTTATGATTTTATTTAGGGTTTTTTGTTATATATATATATATATATATATATATATATATATATATATATATATATATATATATATATATATATATATATATATATATATATATATATATATATATATATATATATCATAAGACACCCACTTTACCCAAGCACTTATCTTTATAAAGATACAAACCCAATATTTGAAGAATTTGAACATGACGTCAAAGAAGGATTCCTAGATGGCTAGGATTCCACTGCCATTATGTTTACAGGGATGAACACACACATAAAGGGTTTAAAAGGCTAAACACACACAGATCAATGTCACATTCGATGGAGAAGGGACCGTGTTTACCGGGATGAACATGCAAATCTAGACAAATCGTTTTTAAGAGATGACGTCTTGAATTTTTTCAAAAATCATTTTAGAGACGAGTGATTTAGTAATTTTCGTAAACGATTTCAGATATGAGATTCTTGTGTGAAAAACATAAAGTTGAAAAAATGAAACCCTCATCCCCATAAGACCAGAACACGAAGTAGAAAAGGAAAAAACTCGTGTTCTTGAACCCTTTGCAAATCTATCATCTTTCATACAAATAGATAGATGAAGAAGAGGAAATTAGGGTTCTTGAACCCTTTGCTAATCCCCCAAAAAAACCTCCAAAGCCCATAGCTTCGTAGACTGAAATACATAGAAAAAAAAAACTAAACATAATCTTTATACAACTAATAGTTGTTGTATCTTTTTCTCCTCTTCAGTTCCATCAGAACTAGAAATTGGGGAAGAAGAAGAACTCCTTTGGCAACTCCTATAACAACATGATTTTTGAAACCAACTTTTTAATTTTTAATATTAATAAAAACACTTGTCTCAACATTAATTCTCAAAAACCAAATACAAGTTTTCAAAACAACTGTTTAAATCCAGGAACCACAAACATAATTTCCAAATCCCGAGTGTGTGTACAATCACACCGGTGGCTTCCCACGATCCTTCGGGGTACCTGAAACACCTAATACATAACACGGTAAGCACGAATGCTTAGTGAGCTCCCCAAAATACCAAATACAACATACTAGCCACTCGATGTTATAACTGAAGGATGCCTTTCGGCGAATGTGTCTCAGTGGACCTTCCGGCTCCACAGTTCTGGTAAACCTTCCGGTACTACCATGATTTGCCTTTGGGCCCAACTTTAACTGCCTTCCGGCTATAACTATGATTGCCTTCCGGCCATAACTATGATTGCCTTCCGGTCCCAAACATACAACATATACATATCAATACATAAGACCTTCCGGTCACATATAAATTCCACTCTAAGTAACGTATAGTGAGAAGACTTACCTCGGGTAATCTCGGAAAGTCTCGAACTCGAAATACTGATCTAGCCTCCGCCTAATCACATAAAGTAATTTACCTCTAATTAACAACGATCCTCAAAGGCTAGACTAATCCCTTCCTATAGCCTCTCAGAAGGGAAAAAAAGACCATTTTACCCCTCCAATGGTCAAAATTTCCAATTGTTGACCAAACCCTAAAAGTCAACGAAAGTCAACAGAGGGAAGTACCCGGGGCGTACCAACTCTATACGCGGGGCGTACCCCGACTATCCAGAATCTGGGATCTTAACCCCTACGTGGCGCGTTCTGAGATTTACGCCCAGCGTAAGTCTCAGTTTCATGCTCTTAATGTTTTTGGTCTGAATCTGTTAAGATACAAGCTCATATTCCAGATCTAGTCC